ATATAAAGTAGTGAATATCTCAAGAAGTAAAAAAATGCCACTTTTTCTTATAAAAGTTGACAACGATCAAAAGTTTGAGGTGGAAGAAGTCTTAAATTGAAGGCAAAGCTGAAATAGATTGAAATAGCTTATTCATTGGTGTAGATATGATATTAATAAACATTCATGGGAGCTGGTAAAGAATCTTATAAATACAATAAAAAGATTGAGGCTTTTTATCAACAAAATCTATTAAAATTAAAATGAAAAGTAAAAAAAAAAATTATTATAAAAAAAATAAAATACATAAAAGTTAGTATTCTAACTTTTATCTTTATTTATACCTTCTGTATATTTATGGTATTAAGGAGATGGTAAATCAACAATCAATAAATTCAACTCAAGAGCTATTTTTTATTGAGTTATTAGATAAGACATTATAATCATCATAACCTTCAAGTTGATGTAATTGAGATGATGATCCTCAAGAATAACATGTCTTTCTTTGAATAAATGACAAGATATAATGTATTTAGTTTCATAACTTTGGAAGAAATCTGCAATGTTTGCTAATTTTATTAAAAATACAAACATGTAATAAATGTTAGGCTAAAAAATTCGTCAATAAGTTAGCCATATGATACATGTGTTAGTAGCTTATAGAACAAACAAACTATATGGTAGACATATAGATAACTTATATTACAAATTAAATCATATATCTAACAAATTTTATACATATTGGAGGTCCTATAGAATATTGCCACATAGCTCTTAGTTAGAGAACATATATGGAGGTAACAATAAAGTCTTTTATACTCTTGTTAATACCTTTCTAATTTTAATCTTATTTCAATACTTTCAAGTCTTCTTGTCTTTAGCAATAGCTATTTTTTTTCAATATATTACCATCTTTGAATGATTTTCTAGTCTTTTTGAGTGACATAAGAGTGTATTGAGGTTTTCTTTCTTTGAAATTTATGTCTTTGACATAGATGCAATTTTGACTTTATACATATTTATAGTTGATTGATAAGTTAGAAATTGAGTCAACAAGTTAACTATATATCATATTTATTGGTAACCTATAGAATAAGCTAAATATATAGCACACATATAAAAAACTTGCCTTGCAAGTTAAGACATAAATTTGGCAATGTCAACATATGTTAGAGGTCCTATTAAACATCACCATATAGCTTCTAGTTAGATAGTATATATAGAGGCAAGAGTAAAACCTTCTTTATTCTTATCAATGTATTTCTAGTCTTTAGTCTTATTTCAAGACTTTTTAGTCTTCTTGCTTTTAGCAATAGCCATTCTAATTCAATATATTACCATCTTTGAATGATTTCTTAATCTTTTCGAATAACACTAGAGTATATTGAGAATTTTTTTCTTTGAGATTCATATATTTAACAGATATTTTTCTTCATAATTTGAAACTATCAAATTTGCAATAATAATAAAATTTTAAAAAAAAATCCAAAAGCTTTGAATATAATATTTGTACATATTTTATAAGAATATATTTTTTAAAAAATTATCTAAAAATAGATTATAAATACAATATAGTTTAAAAAATAATATATCAAAACTAATTTATATAAATTTAGAGCTTAATATCATAATTTAATAATTTTAATTAATTAATTATTTAATTAATAATATTAATAAATAAAGATATTTATAATTATAATTATTAAAATAAATAAGTAAAAATAAAAATAAAAGTGAAAGTAGAATAAGATATTTTTTAGAGAATATTATTTTAATTAAGTTACTAATGATCAAAAGGTTGACTTTTGATATATAAAAAGAATATCTTATGGATATAGGACAATGTCAAGACCTAAGAATCAAAGTCAAGAAGATAAAGTATCAAATATAAAATATTCAAAGATTAGATAAGAGTAATTATTGTTTAGCATAAAATATCTTTTTGATTAATTATATGCCAAAGGATCTTCAGACTATAAGATACCCTTATAGTAAGTTAGATAGTAAAAAAATCTTTGGACTATATGTATAAAAGTTAAAGAGTGGAATTTTTCTTTTAGGATAGCAATCACCACCTATAAATATTGGATGTTGGAAGTGAGAGATATCTTATTCCATATTTTTTTTATGTACAACCATGATGATGCCATGTATTATAATTTCAAAGTTTTATTTCTTCAATATGTTATGAGCCTAGTCACCTTTAATTATAAGCTTTAAAATTTATGGAAGTCTTTTTTGTTATGAAGAGTAAATATTATATTTGATGTTAGTATTAAGATTTGGAATCTTTTACTCTACTTTTACATCTAATTGATCTAATTTTTTTCTTACTTCTTGTTAAGTGTAATGATGGTCTTGGAAGTTGTTAGCCATCTTAGAATATTGTTTTAAAATACTAGTATTATATTTTTTTCTTAAGTTACATCATTAGTACACTAACATCATGCTTTTATTTTCTTAAATTCCTAAAAGATGCTTTTATTGTAATAAGAGGTGTTTTATAAAATTAGAAGTATTATATGAAATTAAACATGATTAAAGAATGGAAAGCTTATATATAAAGTTTAAATATAGTATAAAACTTATGAAAAGTCTTATCAATGAAGTTGAAAGTGATTAAAGAATAAAATTACTAATTTACTTATAAAAAGGTTATTGTAGATTTTTTAGACAAAAATATCTTCTTGTTAATTTTAAGAATTCTATTTTCTCTTATTTTAATTTTTTTGTTATACGTCCTCTTTAAATATAGCTTTAAGTAAGGATGAGGACTTGAAAGTGATTGAGAAGTTTAAAAATAATAACTTCTACCATTCAAAGAAAAAAATTAAGTTTTTATTGGCTTCATTGGATCTTTGAAACATTATTGATGAAAGTAAAGAGCCTCCAAGAGACAATACTAATATTGTAGTGAAGAAAGAGTACAAAAATTGTGAAAAGAAGTCTTTTGGATTGATTCCAATAAATCATGATGATGCCAATTTTTGACATGTAATTACTTGCAATGGACTAGTAGAAGCATAGGATATTCCTTGCAATATCTATAAGAATAGATATCTTGCCAAAATTCTATGGACAAGAAAGAAGTTCTTAATAATAAATATAGGAAAAGGAGATGACTTCGTAGCTCATGTCAACAAGATAAAAAAATACTTGTAAATCAATCAGCAGTTATTAATACACTAATTGATGATAAAGAAATTGTATTGACATTATTCACGAGTCTTTTAAAATTCTACAACTACCTTATTGTGGTATTGAAATTTATCAATACAAAGGAGCTTACCATAAATTATGTCACATCAAGACTTGTCTATGAAGTGATCAAGAGAAAAGGAAATGAGCTTCAAAATAAGTATTTAGCTCTATTTTCATGACAAGGAAAAGGTAGCTATTTTTATTGATTTAATAATTATAAAAAAAATATAAAAAATTACCATATTTATAAAAAAATTATGTCACTTTGCAAGGAGTTGCCACAAAGCTAAGAAAGAAAATAAAGAGAATACAAACAATCCTTGTGATAGTTTTTGTAGAAATAACTATACTTTATGGCAAGTAGAAGAGCCTCTATGGCTGCCATGTCTAAGTGGATTATAGATTAGAATACTATTGAGCACATGACACCATACAAGTATTCATTTGACATTTATGAAGCAATTCTAGCAACAAAAATTTGGTTGAGAAACAATGGTATGGTGTAAGCAATTGGAATTGGTTCCATTATGGTAGAAATTATTGTGAATGATCAAATAAAGAAGGTCAAATAGAAAGAAATCTTACATGTACCAAAAATAAAGAAAAACTTCCTTTCAGTGAGCAAACTTATATCGCATGGTTATAAGATTGAATTTGATATGAATGGATATTTTGTAAAGACATTAAGTGGATAAGATATTGTCAATAGTTTTAGAGATCGCAACCTCTACTTTATCAATTATAAGAAGGTGAATAGAGTTAAAGTGGCAGCATTTACTAAGTTTCTACAGAATCAAGATAAGTTTTGAATTTGGCATCAATAATTTAGTCATTTGAATGTGAAAAGCATGAAAATCTCCAATCCATAGTAAGTAGCTTGAATCTTGTTCAATTTAGCCACAATGCTATGATACTTGCTTATAAAGATTATATCTAAGGCAAACAACAAAAGGCTTCATTTCTAAGTGGAGTTGAAACATGTGCTAGCAAATTATTGAAGACTGTGCATTCTAATGTTTGTAGACCAATAAAGATGCCATTAATTAGAAAAGCAAGGTACTTTATCATATTTGTTGATGATTTTTTAAGAAAGATATGGATTTACATCTTTAAAGCCAAGAATAAGTATTTTTCAAGAGTTAAGGAGTTTAAGTCACTTGTAGAGAAGCAATGTAAGTATAAGATCAAAATGTTGTATATGGAAAATGGAAGTGAATATATATCAAAGCATTTTGATGAGTTTTAAGAGATTTAAGATATTGTAAGATAAACTTCTATTCCTTACATTCCACAACAAATAGAGTTGCTGAAAGAGAAAATCATACTATTTTAGAGATGACAAAGAAAATGCTTCATATACAAAAATTTGGACATGAGTATTGGACAAAAGTTATTATAAATGCAATGTATACAAGGAATAGGTATCCTATAAGTGCACTTTCATCATTGATTCTATATGAAGCTTAACGTGGAGAAGGATTTGAGGGTTCCAAATATGTGTAATCTCTTTTCTCATACAATAATCTACCTTATGCATCTAAGCTTACAGATTCTCGCGAAGGCTAGGACAGGGTGGGCACAATAGAGTAGGGCAATTGTGGATGCACTACAGTCCTTGTAAAAAGCTTACTTTGGTAGGAAATCATCAAATCAGATTTATAAAGCCAAGTTATTTTTTAAATTAAAACAAAAATTGCACTAATACAATAATAACAACTACAACACCCTTAATAGCACGTTTTCTTGTTCGGTCTTGTCAAAATGAACTTTGTTTTTGAGCCGTTTTAGTTGACTGCTATCACTGTTTCTCTCTGAATCAGGAAGGATTACCAAAGTGATTGTGGTAGTTTAATTAGTTTTCAAGTTAGATGTTCAGGTTGTGTGTAGCAGTAGGTCTGGGACATCATTCCAGCCCCTGAAGGTTTATCCCATGCAGGTGTTATCCTGTTCATGACAAACTTGGTAATCGTTACAGTTATGTAATATATAATAATTGCCGATGAGCAAAAGAGGATGCAAAAAGTGATTGTAATCCAAGTTTAATTTGAAAATAGTCTTCAAAAGTTTTCTAGTGTAGACTTATTTTTAAGTGATAATGACCAACAGAATATGAAATACCCTTAGAAAGGCATAGTTTTACGAATAATGGTTATTTAAATAATGGTAATTTAAGTTTATTTAAAAAATGTTATTCTATTTCATTAATTATCATATAATACACAGCATAGCAATAATATCACATCAGGTGTACAGTGATATATTTTAAGGTATCGTCGAATAAACAAACCGGTAACAACTTCATAATTATTTGTATAACAAGATTTCAAGACATCTTCATCGTATTAATTCAAAAATCATGACTAACAATTCATCTACTGGTTGCTTGCTACAAATACTGTTTTAAATTGTTGTGTTTATCTGTGTCTATTGCAGAGAATCTATTCTTTGCTTTTGTAAAAATTACAAGACCCAGCCCTTGTCATGAACAAAACCTTGTCCCCCACCCACTGCTCCAGTCTCATCCCGACTCCCCGACTGCCCTCGGCGACGTGGGTGGGTTGCGCACCGGCGATGGGCTGCCGCAAAGCACCGATCCAGATCGCACGAGGGGGCTGAGCCCCGCCCTCACCCAACTCCATGCACTGGAGCCTCATGGATTCGGCCTTCAGGTGTCGACGAACCTCCCGACCTCTCCTGCTCTCCACGCCGCATGCTCAGCACCTGTCGAGCACACGCCCGTACCAGTCATCGTCCTCCCCAATCCACCTTTCGCCTCCTGCTTCAATCTTCTCTCATCCACGTGCATGTATAATATGTGCAGCCTCGGTCGATCACCCCCGTATATCAATCAGAACCCGTTCTGCTTGTGCACACTATCAGATTTGCAACCTCTCTATCACTCTCTTAGTGTAATTCTATATATCACTCACAAAGCTCTAGTTGTACACCGTGAAGCCGAAGCACTTCTCCCAGCAGATCACACTGTCCACCATGGCCGCAGTCGCATACATCCCCTTGAGCGCTGTCGCTTCCGCGAGGTTGGCAACCACCCAAGCCAGCTCCAGCAATGCGGCCTCCCAGCCCAGCGCGGGCATTGTTGCGTTCAAGCGAGCTGTCACGCCATCTTGCCTGGTACTGAACCCGTCTCCTGGGGGCTTGTTCGTTGTGAGGATTGTCCCGCGCGGTCGATTGGATGGCATGTGAACAAGTGTAGTGCGATTGCTGAGCTCGGGAACCAAGTCCATGGCGAGCATGGGTGTGGTTCCTGAGCTGAGCAGGAAGTGGGGACGTGAAATTTGGCCGCGGCCAGGGAGTGTGGGCTTGTTGCAATTGTGGGTGTTTGAGAGCGATGACAATGGATGTTTGGTGCTCTAACGTGAAAAACATGTTGTGTCTGGATCGCAGCAGTCGGCGAGCCAGTTCTGCGGCGTCCCCGTCACTTTCTCCAACAGCAGCAGCAGCAGCAGCCTGGTCGAGGTAAGTGCATCCATGTCTACCGCGCGTGTTGGGCAGTGTGCCTCCATGTCGATCGCAAGAGGTGGTGGTTTTGTTTTGGTCGACTTGCGCGCCGCAATCGTGACGTGGTGGATGAGTGTGGGTGGGAATTGCGCGGTTCTTCCAGCTGGGCACAGCTAATGCATTTTGGGGGGGGAGGGGGGGAGGGGGGGGGGGTGGGGGATGGGTTTGAGCAGAGGAAACAGGGCGGGTCGATCAGATGCTCCGCCACTCAGAAGAGTTTGGAGGTGGGCGCCGACATCATCGACAAAGTGAAGCAGGACCACAAGGAGCTGGAGGAGGCGTACTCCAATTACAAGAAGTTCCACAAGCAGGGCAACGAGGAAGAGGCCGGATAATGGTTCAACCAGTTCGTGTGGGAGATCTCTCGCCATGCCGTCACCGAGGAGCTGGTGTTGTACCCGTTGATCGCGTCGCAGGGCGACAAGGGCCAGAAGCTGGCGGACCAGTCGCGCGACGAGCACCAGAAGACGAAGGACATGCTGGTGGAGATCCAGGGCATCGAGGACGACGACCTGTTTGAGAAGAAGTTCGACGCCATCATGGACGTGCTGCGAGAGCACGTGCAAAAGGAGGAGTCGGAGGATCTGGAGTACTTGAGGCAGAACGTGGACCAGGCAGCCCGCGAGGCAGCGGGAACCACATTCGCGCTGGGCAAGAACATCGTGCCGACGAAGCCCCATGCGGCAGTGCCGAACAGGTCGGCGATAGTGGAGGGCGCGCTGGGGCTGTTCGCGACTCCCTTGGACAAGCTGCGCGACGTGTTCAGGCCGTATCCCAAGGACAACTAGAGGAGCAATTTGTAGCTTTTTGTACATCAGCCCCCCGTCCCGCGAGTTTGTTGTTGCAAATAGGTGGCTCCGGGATGGATCATGGATAGGTGCGGCGAGATTGTGTATATGTAACGCACCGTGTTCTGTGTGAGTGGATTCAAATTTGTAACGACCCTTTCATGTCGTAAAGAAATTGTGTGGATGTTTTGGAACTGCGTGTTGATCACGGAGCTCAGCACCCCACCGACTTAACTTAACAAATTGTTTAATGTTGGAATTGTGAAAAATGCGTTTTGTCAACCTTTGGAATCATGTACCAATTGTGTATTAAATTTAGGTGTGAATTTTTGCTGAACTGAATGGGTGTATAAATGTTATTTGAAGTGATTTGGAAAGTGATAGTTTAGTGCTGCCGTGGTGTATGTTTCGGACTTTTTTTTAACGGTAATTGCAGTTGAAAACTCCCTTTTTCAATTATATGATCGCAAGATTTGAACATTGACTCAGTCTGAGTAGGTCAGTTTGAGAAGAGGCATTTAGGATCTCTACTGGGATTAATCGTTAACTGTTTTTTGCCAGAGTTAACGCGGTGGATCCTGGGGAGAGGAATTTTAGAGTAATGAGGACTGTTGAACTCCATGCCCTGTGCAAGGATTGTATTGTGTTGAATATAACAATAGCTATCTTTGAAGCAGGAATAGTACGGGAATTTTATTTAGAATCGTGATGTTTTGTTTCATCGAAGTGTGCATTGCAGCTCTTGTTGATTGGAAAAAGCCTTTTTTTTTAATAGCATTTGTACTCATTCCTTGAATCGTACATCATCAGTAGCGAATTGTAACATTAAATTGAGAAAAGGACAGTGGAGTGGGTTTTAAAATTTTTTAGTTGCAGGTTAAAGGCTGAAGTCAGATAACTGACCATGTCGAATCGTTTCACATGGATAAACGATGTGTCTAATGGGAACCAGATGCACTTTCCTCCACGCATTGACTATAACTACAGGGGAATTTTAGTGTCCAGAGAAATAATTAGTGAATCGCTGAAAATATCGTACAAATGTCAATCCAGCTTGTGGCAAATAGCTACTTCGTTTATCGAATCCAGTATTCGGCTACTAGTTTGGCAAATAGAGAATCCCGGTTCTCCAGCAGTATCGCTGGAATATCATATTCTGCTAACCGTCCTGCACCTCCAAAACGCATTGCATCAATACCAACGCAAATATGTGTCCACCAACAAACAGGTGAATCTCTGAACAACAGAGTCTCTCCAAAAATTCAGTGTTAGCATGTGCTTAGTCATGGGAGGGTTAGACCACCCCTCATCAATGGAGATTACGACGTGCCTAATGCTTGTTGGGCTAAGGGCTTCTCTAAATCAAGGATTCAAAGCACTTACCCTCACTAAGGACCAACACCTTGTCGCTGTCAACAACCGTCGGGATTCTATGCGCGATGGTCACAACAGTGCAACCCTTGAACTCTGTACGCAGAGTCCGTTGAATGACGTTATCAGTTGCACTGTCAACTGACGCGGTGGCCTCGTCTAAGACTAGTATGCGTGTCCTCCTGAGTAAAGCCCGCCCCAAGCAAACCAATTGCCTCTGACCAACGCTCCAGATATCAGCATTCTCTCCGACTGGACCACCAATCACCACAAAGCCTCAGCAACTTTTTAAGGGAGGAAATTTCATATTTGGATAACCCTCCAAGGCTTCAAGAAATGAAGAAAATTTGCCATGACTTGAAACTTAGCATGTCTTTTCTGGAAGATTTGTATCTGTCACGTACCTACAGCATCAAGCTTGCCATCCTTTCCACGCACGACGTCTCCAAGCTGACATTTATCAAGTGCCTACACAGGGCAGACTGAGTATAAGAAATCGATAAACAACATTCTCTACAATATGATAGACAACGTTGCTTGGAAACAAATGTTTAATTGGTGGGCACACAATATGTAGAGAACATCCAATCTGGATTCATTACCTCCCAGACTTGTAAGTTGGTGTGGTTGTTGAGAGGGTCAAGATTAGTTCGTATTGTGCCTTCGAAAAGAGTCGGATCCTGAGGGATGATGCTCAAGCGTGTCCGTAAATCTTGTAGTCCAATAGTTGTAATGTCCACGCCATCGATAAAAATTTGGCCTCCCGCCGGCTCGACAATGCGGAATAGGGCTTGAATGAGGGTCGACTGCATTCAAACAACTCTTAACCCTTTCAGATTTGTTCTGGAACTCCGGAATACACGCATTTTGAGTGTTAGACATTGCCGTTAACATAACATCATGTTTCTCGATAGTATAAGAGCATGCTAATAGTACCTTTCCACTGCCAGTCCGGCCAACTACTCCGATTTTTTTTCCGCCATGGAACGTGCACGAGATATCATGTAAAACTAGTGGTGAATGCATGCTGTACCGGATCTGCAACAGCCCCGACGCCGTAATGTCAAATTATTCTTGTCAATAGAACGAGCGAAATGAATCTGTGACATTAGTGCAGAAGTTGTGGAGTTGGGGAAATCATGACACAAACGATCAAGCTCATAATGAATACAAACTAAAACTTCACAGAACTTGAAGTTTGGTGCAAGATAATGTTGAGCATTGCGTGGAGACCTGCAATTGATGAAGCTCAATCGTTCCCTGGCTAGGCCAAGATGGTGGCGGCCGCTTATGCTCAATCAGAAGGGAAGCTTCACTTCGAAGCTGGGAATATTGCTGTATGCGCTCAACAGATATAATCTTTGTCTCCACGTTGCAGAGGTTAAATATGAACCATCCGATGATTATATTCAGTGTCAAACCATATGTAACGGCAAGTCCAGACAGACCTAAACCATGATAAAATCAGGCCATATTCGTGTGCTTCAGTAGCTCTCAAGCCCAGTTTGATGGTCGATATAAATTCAAAAACAGATATTTCAAAAAGCACAGTGAATTAACGGGGGCAAGGAAGTTCATAACGAAACAGATCTACGAGAGTCCAGTTGAGGCATAACTTACTTGGATCAACGAGATTCTCCGGCCTTGATAGCACTATCATGAGGGTGAAAGCCAAGGTGGTTGAGCATAGCAGCTCCATTCGTAAGCAGAGCCATTCCAACAACGCAAATTGAAGAAAGGCTGGGCGCATGAAATTGTCAAAAAGCTGCATATTAGTCTTCTGGAAGCGCTGGTATTGGTCAAATCCGCGAATTGTTGCCGCACCCGCGATTGACTCGCCGTAGTGATTCAATATTGGTGACTTTTGAATACCCATCACCCTTGCAGCTTCTCTCGCCGAAGTCAATTAGTAGCTCTGCATCAGCAAACAGCCCGATTATATCAGTCACATCCATGTCTTTCACAACTACACCTTGAATCAAAATTGTAAAACAAGAGAGTCGAGGGAATAGTGGTTAGGCTTACTTGCATCCACAAACATGTCATCAAAACGGGGACGAAGAAAACCGGGACTGTCCAACTGATCATGGACATCACCCCCACTACTCCCAAAAACTGAGTGGTGTTCACCCTAAGGGACCCCATAAAATACTGTATCGTCGAGTCTAACTCTCTCTGATCTGAGGATGCCTGATTACATTACAGACATGTGAATTTTCCTATAATCTCAAAACGTTGACGAAGTTGACAGTGCAATACATCATTGAGGATACATAAGTTGAAGAAGTGACGTCACGCACCAACTCAATGGCCATCGAAATCAGCTCAAGTATTTCACATACTCGGTTAAGAATCCGTCCCGCAGGAGTTGAATCGAAGAAAGACATTGGGGCCCGAAAGATGCACCGAATCATGCTGAGGAAATACTTCTGGGCGGCAAGAAGATCGGCAATTGAGACCAGCAATGCGCGAAACACCACAAACAAGGAACTCCCAAATGATAATCTAGCGAAGATGAGTATCAGATTTGTACTGCTCGTCTTTCCTGTTTCCCCTCCTCTGGCTGGCTCAGCCCATGCCATCCAATAATTGCTTCCCACTTGAAGCAGCTTCACATATTCGGCAGAAAGGAACGCAGACGAGGTTAGTCATCTGGGCGAAAATACACTAAGATAGCAGCTACTTGTAAACAGATCACAACATCTCAAATTGTTACGTAAGAATGTATTACATTTGTAAGTCTTACCAGAAAACCTAGCTGGCACACTATCGCCAACACAGCAAGGGCACCCTTGTATATTCCAGTCACGTAGGACCAGTACACACTGAAACTCACGACTCCTCTCTTCCGTTCTTCCTCTTCAATGAGTTGGCGCTGCGTTGGTAGTTCCTTTATAACCTCAATCTTCATGCTTTGCTTCGGCGTGATGGGTGAATTTGACATTCCATGGCTTCTCTGCTCCGGAAACTTATTACTCGTGCAGTATGCTTCCGCACCATCTATTTCCATCCTCACCGCTGTTATAACCACTTCATCTGTTGAAAATCGACATGAGGGAGGGCAGAGACAACGCGAAACGTAAAACATTCGGGTGCAATGCCATTTTAGTATACCGTTGTCAGAAAATTAGACCTCATCGCAATCTGTACATAGTAATTTGGAAAAAGATTGAAGAACTGCGCACCTGGTGAATGACCATGGCTCTCCATTCCATTAATTGCTTCGTTGTGTGCATTCACTAGCTTTTGAAAATTGGTATCTGCTTGAAGCAAGTCTTCGTACTTTCCAGCTTGTACAATAGCGCCCCTGTCAAGCACCTGCTCCACGACTTGACGATCAGTAATTCTTCTATCTTAAATGATGACAAGGAGTTACCTCCACGGATGATAATGCGCTCGTGGAAAGTACCGCAAGAGAGTAGCAGTGACCCACCAAAATGAAGTCTGCTGCAGGAAGAAACTCAATCTGATGCGTCACATAAATCACTGTCTTGGAGGCCAACTCTTCCAATATGCATTCCTGTTAAGTCAGGTCACTTTTACCTGACAACAAAAAAACAAAGTTAACTCACCAGTTTTCAGACTCAAAGGTGAGAGACAAGAACTCCAGCAATCTATCCATCAAACAGAAGCAGTTGAATGCCGTGACTTACAACGCCAGCTAGTTTTGGGATTTCTCCAAGAACTGACAAGAGTAGGCTACTCTTCCCAGATCCTACAATTCCACACACAGCAACCCGAGACCCTTGTTTAACTTTCAAGTTTATCCCTGTTAGAGTCGGAAACTCCGAGTTCGATGTGTGCCAGCTGAATTCACCTCCTTCAATTTCAACGGGAGTGTCTCCGCTTTCTCCTGTTAGCAAGTGAATCACTGCATCTGAGGCTAGTTCCTCTTCTTGCAAAAACGTCCATATCCGGTCCAGTGATACCTGTACAAGGCCTCAAAGAAATCACAAGGGTATGATGCATGTGACATTCGCTTTGTGATGCAAACATGTTAGCAGTTACTAGAAATGGGTGCGAGTGTCTTGTTAGAAACTCCAGGAATGTTTACAATCATACATTCTGATCTCACAAGTGAACTTAGTGATTAAGACAACAACATGGGATCATCGACCCCACCTTGGTCTGAGCGTAGAATGAAACCAGCTCTGGTAATGAATTCATGGCTTCCTGAAGGACCCTGAATGTAGCAATGGCGGACAAAATTCTACCGGATGTCAACGAGATGCCGAGCAGCACACATGTTCCAAAAGTGGCCACTGATATCAGAATGGGAGACGTCCAAAACAAGCAGGTTACAAACGCCCTGGCAATGCAATCCTTAAACAGCCAGTAGAATTCGCCTCGCCGAAACCCCTCAATTGTCCCGAGAAAAATTTGCTCCCATGCCTGAAGCTTCAACACACGCATACTACGTAGACATTCCGCCAAGGCCTTCATGCGCTTGTCTTTCGCTGCCATCACGCCGCCTTGGTACTTCTCTTGTAAATTCTTTAGTGGCACGTTCAGGAAAAAGGTGAAACACGCAGCCGTCAATGCGGCCACCCATGCCATCCCCACCACTCGATTCAAGATTCCCAGGGCAAGTGTCACTTGCAGGGGTACAATCCACACCTGGTGAAGGTACCATAGGAAGTCAGTGATGCGTTGGACGTCGACCGACATGTAGTTGATGATCTCTCCGCTTGAGTGACTGATTCGAGCAGTGTTTGACAGCCGCAGGGCTTTCCTATACACCACAACAGTCAGTGCCGCCTGGACCTTCAAACACAGAAACTGGATGCGGTAGTACCATTGCCTTTGTGCCAGGTTTTCCACCACTTTTGCAAATGAGAACGTCAGAATTAGGGCTAAATTTTTACGCTCATTCCTCTGACCTCCACTCAGATACTCAACAAGGTCGTTCACAAAAAAGGGGCCTACATAAGCGGCCACCACATTGATGACTGCAAACATGCCGCTCACAACAACAGTTGGCCAGAATGATTTCCAAAGAGTCACGGAAATCGCCGGCGTTTCCTCAGGGGTCAGATCCTTCAGTGCATTCCAATTGGACTCGAAGACAGAATACTGTGCCTCTGCGTTGTCTTCAGGGGGCAATGGAGGCATGTCTGGCAGCTCTAGAGGATTCCTCATGCCCGCTTTCAGAACCGGGTTTAACCAGCTTAGTGTTGCTAAACTGAAAAAACCCGCATTCTGATATAATTTTAAACTCTCCTTCACTTGCGAGCTTCCAGTGCCATCTCCATTTAAAAGAGGCTCTTCCATTTCGTGTTCGGGAATAACTTTCATGCCAGTCCCGCCTTTGAAACCAGCATACGCTACAAAGAGAACTGCAGGGTAGAGAATGATTTCAACCCAGCAGAGTTTCCACTTGCGCGTGGAAAAGTCGATTGAAGAGAGGAATGTGAGTGCGGATAGAAGCAAAGAAGAGATCCACCACAATCGTAAGAGGAGCGGGAAGTATCGATGCCTTTCTTTCCTCGTCTTCTCGGTTTCCATGCACATGACACCCCACGCAAGGCTGTGGATGCCTGCTGACACAACGTCCAGCGGAAAAGTGCTCGACCATCCCTTCCAGAACCCATGTGAAAGCCAAGACAAAAGGACTCCTAGGTTGACGCAGAAGAGATACAAGCAGCAAGTTTGTACAGTTTTGAAGTACACGCCGGCCCCATGTCGATTAAAAGCTTGCCTCTGTGGTTTCCGGTGTACTATATTGCACAGGAGAAGAGTGATATAGATCAGGAGGAACCAAAGATGGAGAAGAGAAACAACCACCCTTTGAGGACATGGTTTGAGGAGGCACAAAGTGAACCATGATGAAGGGGAGGGGATATCACAGCATGCAAACGGCGATGGGGAATCCCCGGAGCGGTAGAAGAAGGACCAGAATTGAGTTACTGCTGAACACAGACGAGAAATCATCACAAGGTCAGAATATATTCGAAAATCCCAAATGCATAATGCAACTCTTGTATCAGCCCCCGCTCAACCATGTCCATTGGAAATTCCATGACACACAATTGCACGCCCGGTATTTAGCTACCAAGGATTAGATATGTGTAAGAATTAAATCTTTGCAGTGCACAATGACTGACGCTGTAACAGCTTACTTGCCATGTTCACCACACCCTACAGATCATTTTGTTCACGACGGACATTCAAACTGCTGACCAATCCCGAAGATCTATTGTTCAATTATATTTCTACTGCAGTTGACTGGCTATATCCCACCAGAAAGAAGGAGAGTCTCACATTACTGCAATTGCAATTCGTTAACACTCCCATTAACGGACGAAAATCCACAGAGGACCAAACAATGAGGAGCACTCACATGACTTCACAGCGGAGTTAAACATGGGAGATTATCCACAAAATCCGGTAGGTCGCTTCTAACTGTTCTACAATGCAATGAGAAATCTGAAGTGGGCAATGGGAAGCTAAATAGTCACCCACTGAGCTGAAGCATGCCTTTGCTGATGCTTCCACTGCTGATTGCTCTCTAGGAATCAAAAAACAGACAACACAGTGAACCCCAGGATTCTGACGAAGCAGTCAGAACGGGAAAAAACCGAGAGTTCGAGTGACCCGATGCGAAGATATCCTCTCACTAGAGTTGCAGCAGCAATGGCCGTGGTGGAAATCCCATGGAAATGACAACAAGAGACGCACTGCACAGCAGCTAGGCTCTCGTCCCCAAGATGGATCCTTTGACATCCACCACAGCAAGCAAAGATAAAGACCTGGGTTACTAGATCCGGGGCCTATATACTGACAACGTTGCGCAAACATCGCACTGTTACGATAGATGGGCACACTTTCCCACTGCTCAGGCGAAGATTCTGTGTGTGTGTGTGTGTGTGTGTGTGTTTATTTTCCATCCTAGCGATGAAATATGCAGATTGGACCTCGCACACGGACTGCATCCCCGCTCACTGTTGGGAGTCCTGCCTCCCTCCGTTGACATGGTCTCTATTCCTGATGTCGCAGTCCATCGCCATTACATTTGTGCAAATCCTACCATCAGTTCAGTCCGAGTAGAAGAACTTTGAGTGGGGGATCTGCTGTGCCAAACTTGCATTCTCCAAATAGATGCTTCTTGTTGGTGTTGATAGACCATTAATGTAAAGTCATGTGCATTAAAAATCTTGTGTTTTTTGTAGTGAGATTTCTCTCACATGTGGCTGTAGTCTTGCTTTCCAACGATTCTTCTCATCTTTTTGATGTATTGGAGAATAAGAGGAAATCTTTTTGGTCCATGTTGTGTAGCAATAGCAACATTGTTATAAAATGATGTGCAATGGTTGTAAAGATGTGATTCTAACAATTGTTGTTAGGTGATAAATTCATTGTGCAATTAGTAGCATTAAAGTGAAACAGAAAGATTAGGTTTTTATCTTTGGTGCAATAATTATACTGTTCGATTCAAAACATTAAAAAAATTTGAAGGAGATTGGTAAAGAGAATTGTAATAATTTTGACCAAAATATAATAGATAAAAAATAGGTGTAGAAAGGACAACTAATGCCATAGACACTAACTGTTAGAGTAAGTATGTAAGAATGATTGTTGTTGTGTAATTTTTTTAAAAGGTAATTCTAAAAGTGTAGAAAGAACAGGTAGAACTCAAGAGATATTTATTTATTTATTTTTCAGAAAAAGTCATTTTGCACTTATATTGCAAGTATGACCACAAATTTAATTTTTACATATTGTTAGTATGAATACCAATCCAAATTTTATATATATATATATATATATATATTCAGAGAGAGAGAGGGAGAGAGAGAGAGAGAGAGAGAGAGAGAGAGTTATATGCAGTAGAGGCAATTAAAAAACAGGATTTTGCAACAATTGATCTACTTGTGTAAAAATTGACTTGTAAATAACTATATATATCTGATTTTTTCCACCCGTGTATACATTTTTTTACAACTTTGATTGGTCGAAAAAATAATAAAACCTTAAATAAATAAATAAATAAATATAAAGACAAGACAATGCTTTTAGGGTTGTCTTGCATAAAGGCATTTTAATTAATGTTTGGAGCGCTGAGATTTAATATGTATTCACAATACATTTTTAAATATGCTGTTTATTGTTTCTAATACACATATATACAAGGATTTTGATTGTATGACCATGCTAGAATAATTTGGAACATTGGTCTGTGAAAAATTAGCTACAATTATGGAAATATAAGGACAACAAAAAATTTAAATAGTAAAATATAATCTTTGCAAAAAGGTTGGCGAGTAGATACTAGAAGTTTATTATAATCTGGTCTCTCCAATTGACCACACATTTCCAAACTTCTTCCTCCACGCTAAGCCCCTGTTTTGACACCCAGTAATCAAACAGCATATGGTTTCCTACAGGGCGACATGTTTCCCTACCGTGAGCAGGACCTACTTGCCCACCATGACCTGATTACCTGGTGTGATTGGTAGGACATTTTTATTGTCGAAAGAGCTCGTCCATGCACCCAAAATTAGAATAGGTGAAGTAACATCTAAGACAATTCGACAGGCAGGAGTTGTCATATCTTGAAAACCCGCATGTGTGAAGGACAGCTGAGTAATTCACAATTGCGCTGCAAAAGGTGAAATAATTCAGGAGCGGATTTGCAAGGATTGAATATCAACTGGCGACATAGTACAATTCGACGCAGAATGTATGTCGTTCTGACCAGAAGTCGAAAAGAACAAAAACGTGCTACATTATCCTGGACGGTCTTATCTGATCACGGCTAGCTTTGACTTGTGACTAAATGACAGCTGTGGACCACGTAAAAAACACATGAAAGTGGAATCAGTCTTAGCTAGTGCAGGAGTTGATGTCAACCAATTGAATACAAAAGCATCTGTGTATTCTCAGTTAAAGATACAAAAACTGAGTTGAATCTATTAACATGTTTGTCAGCGTTAAAGTGCTGCTAACTGTAGAATCTAGAGACTGTAAAGCTTTGTCCAAAATTGCAAGTGGGTCAGAAACACATCAATGATGCCTTAGAGAGCATTAACAGGAAGATGAGCAGTGTTGAAATCCGCCACAGTTCGATGGGTAGATAGATACTGTGAACCTCCGCATCGCTGGTGGACTGTAGCAATGGTGATCTGTGTGGGTAGTGATCGGTAGGTGTTGTGAGAATGCCGAGCCAGACGTTGAGCTTAGCCTCCGAAACCATACAAAGTTCGACCCTGTCTCTTCAACGCGTACACCACGTCCATGGCGGTCACCGTCTTGCGCCTAGCGTGCTCCGTGTAAGTCACAGCATCCCTAATCACATTCTCCAGGAAGATCTTCAACACGCTGCGAGTCTCTTCGTAGATCAGTCCACTGATGCGCTTCACGCCGCCTCTTCGGGCCAAACGGCGGATGGCAGGCTTGGTGATACCTTGGATGTTGTCACGCAAAACCTTTCGGTGACGCTTGGCGCCACCCTTCCCCAAACCCTTGCCTCCCTTCCCACGCCCAGACATGACTTACGGATTCCTCTACCAATCTATGCTGAAGCAGAGCAAAAGCGGAGAGCAGAGGGAGATTAGAGCTAATGGATGTTGCTGGTGCAATGCCAAACGGACCTTTTCATAGACACCCAACCATGAGAAAATCCGGCTTCGAGAAGACGCATCGGCAGAGCTGAACAGTGCCTTCCTGGCTGATCTAGAATTGAATGACCTCTGTGGTTTGTTAGAATATACTTAGGATTCTCAGTTGTCATGCTACATTTGATAGAAGTAAATTTGAGCAATGGACCAAACGGATGCAACGTGCGTTGAATTCGATGCATGTTTATGAAAAATCGGAGCTATCAATAGTAGTAGAGTACCCGTAAGTTGTGGAGAGATACGCTAGGGTAGGCAGAAGGATCTATAAGTACTTGAACTCGTCACACCCAACGAAAGACTGAGCGATGGCAAATCAATTCATCAGCCAGCAAGCTATGATGAGGATACATTGATGGCCACCTATTGCTGATTTAAGGATCTCATCGAAACTCTTCACTTCGTAACTTCAGGTTCGTTCACTACTTCGAAATAGAATTCGTGACCAATCTGTTGGTGCAGCTGGCAACGGCTCGATTTGCGATTTGATGCAAATTAAATATTAAATCAATCAACACGCGCGACAATAACATCACGAAACGGGTACTGCAAATCTTGAAGAATGAAACCTGTAAACAAACAGTCAACGTGTAAAGGTAGACTTGTAGTTTGTAGTGCTCAAGAAAAGTTGTGCCAGGGGCTTTGCGATTTCTCGAGGCGGGGAGGAGATCTGTTCGAGTAGGGAGAGCCACGCAGAAAGACTAAATGCCTGTAGAGTTATTGTCGTCTACCGAATCTGCGATCAAAAGCTCGATTGCGACTCGTGGTTGTCTTAGCATTGCCCTGCAACTGTGGCCGTTGCCACTTGAGATTCTATCTCATCAATTCTGCGTCATGGCGGATGATCAAGGCGTCGTTTGATTCAGAGCGACGGTAAGGCTTGACCAAGGACCAGTCGTCGATGACTACGACCTCACTTTCAGAGTCTGGGAAGTTGGGGGTCTCAAGTGTGGAAATGCGAATGCAGATGGAGGCGAAAGGAGAACAACTCTTCTGTTGAACAGCAGCAGCCCTTCAGTATCACAATAACTTTAGCTGTGAAAATCAGAGTTGAGTGGACGGGTAGCCGCAACTTATCGCAGGGACGGTTTCTAGAAGATGAATATTGTTGCAGCCTCATCACCGGAGTTACACCTTCTACAACAGCAGTTTATGAGAGCTCGATGTGCTAGATATCTTGAGAACCCGAGCTCAGAAAGCAACTATGATCGACTGCTGGGCTACTGTGAGATCCAGTGTGGGAGTGATTTTTTCTTGGAATTGTTGTTTTGCATTCTCTTGAAGATTCAGAGCACACAATGAGGATTAACTTGTGTCTTGCTTTGCTGATGGCAGCAGCTCGTCCAAGCTCAGACAGACCTGAGAATTCTTCTCCTGAAATTTGACCATATTTGTGATAAACGAGATGATTTGGTAAAAAACTTTCAAGAAGTATGTGGACTTTTTTTGCTCCAACTATGTGACAATATGAAGTAGGGAATTGATATTTCCACCCATATTTTTACTAATTCCACCTGTCACAACTTGGTGATGATATTTTATTCTCTCTCTCTCTCTATCGATATATATATATATATATATATTGTAGTGTCAACTACTACTCTTATAGAGTTTGAGATTAGCAAAGCAACCCAATGCTCCACCTGAGCTCCAATGCAGTTGTTAAAAGCCAAAAAACATATTGTGAAAAGACTTGCCCCAACAAGTGTCCTTGTACATTAAGGATTGGTTGTTTTGCTGTTAACACTTTACATGCTTCTTGAAAGCAACTAAAAGGTTGCTTGTTTATACATATTTTTGTAGATGAATTAGAAAGTGCTAATTGAGAGTACACAATGCGATGTTGGTGGCCATATTACACACTTGTTCTTATCTCATTTACACTTTGTTAATATAACAAGGAAATACCACAATATATTGCTTTTGGGCTACATAATTAAATTACATTAGGATTTTGTTGTAGTGTTGTAACACAACTATTGGGTGAAAGATAAAAATATTGATTATATTATATAAAAATATAATTAAAAATATAGTAAAAAAATATATTTGGAAATAATAAGAAGTTGTAAAAAACCATTTAGTTTTAATGTTGTTATTTTTGTAAAAAAATACTTTTATTTACTTCTTAGAATCGTAAACAAGAAAAAAGAAAGTATATTAGAAAAAATAATTTTATAGACATCTTTAAAGGAAAATAAAAAAAAAAAAAATTCAGCAAAAATTACCAAGAAAAACCAAAAATTGATATCCAAAGAAGACCATTTGTAAACTAGGATCAAAACTAGATTCAAAGACGTAAAACAAAACACCTACATAAAATGTGGGATTCTTTTGTTTTTTTACAAACTTAATTAAAGAGAAAAAATGATAAAAAAATTTTAAAGGTTAATTTTGAGTGATTTGAGTGAGTAATGACTTTGTGAGAATTTTGCAAAATCAATATTGTTGTAGATGATTCTATTTTTTGTAGTATAAAAAGAAATTTAATTTTGATAAATTTTTTAGATTTTGAAGTAAGTCTATACATTAAAATTTGTAGATATATAAATATAATTATATTATTTATATATTATAAAGTAAATCTTAATTAAAGATTTAGATCAAAGATTATTAAAGTTCAAGTAATTTAAAAACTTAAAATTAGATTTTGAAGGTCAATGAAGGTTTCTATAATTTTGAGTAATTTTTTAATTAGATTGCAATAATATTTTTGTAAAATAATATTTGACTTATTTTTTAGCATTTATACCAATTTTTAGAACAAGTGAATGGTGCAAAAAGAAGCTATTAGTCTTAGAAGATTAATATTAAAATTTTAAAATAACTATTACTAATCTTTAAGTAATTAGGAGCTTTTTTCTGTATTTTTGAATTTAGATCTCTTCAAATTTTGTATGCTTGTTGTTAATTAGTAGATTAACAAGTTTTAAAATTTTAAATAAATATTAATAATTAAATTAATAATTATTGAAGTTTTAAATCTACTATAAACTTATGTAGGATTTAATAAGGCTTTGATAGGATTTACTTAGAATTCTGTTAGGATTTTATTAGACTTTAGTAGAATATACTTAAAATTTGATTATAATTTAAGTAGGATTTATTTGGGCATTCTTTGAGGTTGGTTACAATTTAGTTAGGTATCACAGATATCAACATTGATATTAGTAATAAAAAAAATAAGAAGAATTAAGTAGAAGTAAAAATAAATAAAGTTAATAATATATTGCAAAGAAACTTTTTAAAAGCTTAGTAGATACAAGTTTGATTTCATAAGTGTTTATAGGTGATTAGTAGATTGAAAACTTTGCAAACAAGTTAGCTACATATTGTGCATATTGGCTACTTATGTTATAAGTTGGACATATGACACATATGAGAAACTTCCCTTCCAAGTTAGATATATGTCTTGCAAGTTGGATATGTGTCAAATGACCTGTAGAACATTCCCATAGAAATATTTTATTGGATAGTATATATAGAAGAAAGAACAAGGCCTTTATTATTCTTATCAATATTTTTTTTGTATTCTTGTCTTAATTTAAGAATCTCTAGTTTTTTATATTTAGTAATAACCATTCTAGTTCTTATCTTTCATCTTTATCTTTTTGAGTATCACAAAACAATATTACTTCTTTAGAGGCTTTTTATGATTTATGTCCTTGATATTTGAGTTCTTTAAGATTTTTTATGATTTCTTTAGGATTTCTTTAGGATTATTAGGAATTATTTAAGGTTTTTTTTTGGAGTTTATTAGAATGTGATAAGATACTTCTAGGATTTTTCTAAGGTTGATATGGTATACTTAGCATATTTAGAAGCTTAGCTATGTTGTTAAAGATTGTTGAGAGATTTTTTTAAAATATCTTATACATTATTTTTAGATTATAAATCCAACTTTAAGGTAAGATCAAATTCTTCCACAACCAAATTCTTAGTGCATTCTTAGGTTGATTTTTACATAATATAACACTGCTTTTATATATTTTAGACTAAATATGGATGAATTCAACATTCTACTGTTACTGTGTGTTTTTAGTAAATAGAGAGGCAACAAACTACAATTGGATATATGAAAACTACAATAACAACAAGTGGTTCATGCAATTGAATATCAAATCAAAGACTACCAAGCTACTATTGCTAATCAATACATATGCATACTCTACCACCTATATATGCCAATGAACTTAAATCTTGTGGATTAAGTCTTAATGTTTGTCTTCAATAAAATTCAGTAGCAAGTCCCATTGATAAGAAAAGTTTGTTTAGGATCTTGTAATAATTTGTTTTGTACAACCATGGGCTTGCTATACATTAATTAGTTGGAGAATCTATAAGGCAAATTGCTTGCATTAAAATATGTGTCAAAGCTTGTTGAGAGGACGACTAATATGTATGGCTTACTTGATGCATTCCAATAGGACTTAAGCATTCTACAAGAAAGTTTTATCCATTACATCTCTATCCAACAAGTTGGATTGGAGGTGCAAATAACACACCTTGCTACTACAAAAATTCCCTCTAAATTGAATATGTTGCCCATGAAGTCTAATAATAGGTGACTTGGAAGTTGTAGAAGACAAAAAAATCAATACTACATGCATTGTTAGCATTTGAACTTACTACAAAGCACAAACATATATTGTAGCAAGTACAAAGTAGTAGATTATAAAATGTGGAAGTACCTTCACTAGGCAAGGCATATGTACTAACTTAAAGAATAAGATTAATTAGGCAAAGAAGGCAAAGTAGAAATTATGGTAGTAATCAAGTGGTAAGTGGAATTTTAAAAAAAATAAAAATAAAAATAAAAATGTAGATGATACATTCACAAAATCATGTTGGGACTACAAATAATAGATGGAACTAACAAAAGTATGGATTAAAGAATAGAGTTCATATTTTTTTTGTTTTAGAAACATGAGCCTCTCAAACCTCCTTAGGAAGAGCATTGCTCTCTATCAATCGTTTTCAGTTAAAATCACTCTTTTCATCTTAGATTCCATAGAAGAAGTTAGTGGTACTACAATATGTATATATATATATATATATATATATATATATATATATAGATAATATAAGTGATACATTGACAATACCACGTTATTATTAAGTGATGGTTGAAATGAATAAAAACATAGATGAAAATATTATTTTTCTTTGAAGTACAATAAACAATTCATGGCTTCATTGTTTATATATATAATATTTTTTTTATGGCATCCATATACAATGTATGCAAGATTTATATGCAATGTCATGATGTTTAGAAAATAGTCTACTTGAAACTTATTAATGCATAGTTTATAACTTAATTAGAGACTTGTAGTATAAACTTATACACATAATTCTAAGGTCTTTACAAATGTTATATTTGTAGGTTGTAGTTGATACTTTATATGTAACTAGATCAATGGTTTGTTATTATTCAAAATTGTCTTGTGTGATGCGAGATCTTTGAATTTGTTAGTTTTGTTATGTTAATTTTTCCACCTCACTCCATTTATAAATCTCTTCTCTTCTTTCTTCTAAATTTTGATTAATACTATGATATTATATTTTAAATATGATTTTTTGCAACTTCAACTCTTTTGATGTATTGATAAAGATATTGGTTCTCATGATGCATCTTAGTGTATTGGATGTTTAAATGAAGAAAATTTTGTAATTTAAAAACCATGATTTATATATATATATATATATATATATATATATATACATATTTATCAAATTAATTTAAAAATTCTGAATTGTATCATAGCAACAAATGTTATATAAATCTAAAGTTCTTAAATAAAAAAGTATTTTAAATAACATACTTCTATTTTTTTTAAATTAATTTCAACCAAATATCTTATTAACATGTTTTTATTTCTTTAAGTTTACAATCATTGAAAATAATAATAATAATAATAATAATAATAATAATAATGATATCTCTAACATTTTTTTTTCAAAAAAAATTCAAAATTTTTCTATTTTTATATATATAAGATGGTATTATAATACCTAAGTCTTAAATTATGCATATAAAGCATATGAAATAATATATTTTTTAATATTTTTAGTTTAGTTCTATTATACTATAACACAAAAGTAAAAACTTCTATAAAAAAACATTTTCTTTTCTTCAATTTTTTGTTTTAGTTTGCCTTGGATTTTTTTTAATATTTAACTTCTTCAAAATCATCTGATTTTCAAAGGTATCAATTATAAGTCATATAAATATATATTTTTAATAATTCTTAAATATAAATAGAAACGTATTTAGTATTGTTGATCAATTTGTACCTCATTGACATTAGAAACCAAAAAAATGATTGTGTATGATCATTTGAATTTCTTTACACCTAGTAGAAAAACTCACATTTACACAAAAACTTGGAAATGTATGATTTATGATTGATAAATTTGGCTGATTTCACGTGGATACTCATTAAGTTGCTTTGATACATTTGTAACCAAAATGACACATCCTTGTTCTTTGTTTGCGATTTAAAATACATAGAAACCTGTGAGATATATAGAAAATGTAGCCAAAACTACTTATGTGTAAGCAGCGTACAGATAGACAAAAGAAACATTGAAGAGATTTTACTGCATCTAAAAGAATTAGAAACAATTTTAAAAAGAAGCCTGTATTCATGTTTCACAGCCTACCAAAATGAAAATCGCTTACACAATTATGTACTACAGGAAAGTGCTTTCGAAGGGCACAACGTTGGTCCTTGTAAAAATGCTCACAAAAATGGATGACGTTGGAGAGGTTTGAACTCATCAGACTTACATATCAGCTGTCTGGGCCTTTTGAAGCCGCCATCTTATTTGTGATTTCCACAAATGACAACCACCTCTTGTGAATTCGCACGATCTGCCAGTGATTTTTGTCAGTAATATGACAACATGAAGATTCAAGTGTAAATTGTTCAAAGGACCTCATGGAATGGATTGAAGATGACGCAGCATACCTCTGAGTAGGGTGTGAGAGTCTCCGAGCAGAGGCTCTGGATGGGAGGTGCTAAAATGGAAGGAGGAAGGACTTTGCCTAAAGCAGGCTGTGCAATATTTCCCAAGTAGAAAAACGGGAGCACCCATTTTGCTTGTGGAAAGGCAAACTCTGAGAGATATGCTGCTGCGTGGTCTTCACGTGTCTGCTTCTCTGTATATCTCTCGAGGGCCTTCGTAAGGTCCTCTACCTCATGAAGACATTGCGATAGTGTCACAACATCCTGCACATACAAAACACCCTATGTTCATATTTGAAATTCGTAGTGGAGTCTAGCAGTGTGTCACTGTTGAATATTGCTTCCATCTGAAGGATAGTATTATAACCTGTAGGGAGGAATTGCAACCCTGACCAAGGGCGTTGGACATAGCATGAGCAGCGTCACCTATCAAGACGGCCTTACCACCAGCATCATGGAACTTACTACAATATACCTGAAACGGAACAGTACATGTAAAGCATTACATCGCAAACTTCACAACAAGTGAACACGCAAATATATGATAAAGCACTTTCAAATTGAAACACATAAAACACTTGAAATTCTTCAGGGTCTATGACTCTGCAACTAAACAGAAGACTTCAAAAATTAGTATTCGTGTAACCTTCATTGACGATGTAGGACGCTGATTAATGAACACCTCAGCAGCTTCGACAGGTACTTTCAAGGGGGGCATGTACTTCTCAATGTACGTCTTCAACTGCGAAACCATGGGACATTAGTACCATTCACCATGTACACTCTCGATCCATGTGTAAAAGTTGACTTTATAGAGTAACAACAATAGCATTATATCCACCTACTTGAACAAGACACAGTACTGATGAATATCCGGATTTTTGAAAGAGTGCACCTCTCCTGCTGACTTAATGCTTAGAAGTTCAGTAGGAGTAGTGCCAGGTGACCATTCGATTAGCACTGACATTCCGTCTCCAGGCGTGGGAAAACACGAGAACCGTAAGCTTGTCTTGCTCGCTGTGCCAGTAAATGGAAGCTTAAATCCCCCAGATTGTTTTCCATTCTCGTCAACCGCATCGTCCTTCGTCACCCTGCTTAAAATATCTCAGTTAAATACATATCATCTTTTTTAAGCATAAAATATCCTATCTGAAACAAGTGGTTTATGTCAACTTAACTAGTGGAAACAGTATGTCAAAAGTGTAAACACACCTGAAAGCGTGCACGGCTTCCTCAGAAAGTTCGGGTGGTCTGGGAACATACAAGACCTTGAATGTGTAAGGCATGTTGGTTTGCTTGTAGTCGAAGCCTCGTTGAGTTATGAATTCGTTGCGTACAGCGGATCTCGCACCATCTGCGCCTACCAAAAGATTGTACGACACCGGATTCTCTGACTTTCCATTGAAGGAGACAGTTCGAGATTTGAAGTCGACTCGTTCACAGCGAGTATTGAAATTGACCTGTGCCGCAAACAAAATTCACGACAATCTAAACAACCCCAAAATGCCAAACACAAGAAAAAGATACACAATTGTCCAATGACATTCTATAGAAACCGAAAAAACTTCTACCCTTCTCTGTACATTTAAACAATGGTAAAGAAGCAAATTCTCTGCTTCTCATTCAGAATTCCACTTCGCATTTTGTTTACATTACGACAAGTCAACAACAGAGTATGTAATCCTAAGAGCTACAGAGCAAGTTCAGTTGTGGAGCCCTAACCGTGTTGAAATGCACAGAGACGGAAATATTATTGTGCAGCATAATACATAGTATCAACTATTATCAGCCAAAATGAGAGTAAGGCAGCAGACAGCAGGACCAATACGGGATGTTACGCAAGAATCACCTCTAGGTCGTCTTTAGAATATCTGCTCTCAAGTTCAGAGACAAGAGTAGCAGCCAAGGCCCTTTGATTGATCAGCAACGACGGCTTCCCAGGGTTCCGCTTCAGAGCTATGGCTCGATTCCCTGTATGCAAAACGAATTGCGAGCTTGGCATGCCGCGCTTTTCCACTTCGTCCCAAAGTCCATCCACTCTCTTGATTCCATCCTGACCACGAGCGCTCAACCCTACGCAATACTGTCTCTCCTTATACCTACAATACAAGCTCGCAACAAGACGACGTTGATTCTGCTTCGTGAAAAATCGATGACAACATTCTGACTCTTGACATGATAATTCACAAGTTCTCTTTGAATCAACGTTAACGTAGATGAATTCTGTGAAGAGGTTGTGAATACCTCCAACACTTACAGCGGTAATGGGGTGCGTGGGTCATTTCGAGCTTCAAAGACGCGCACAGGGAGGAAGTGAGGCTTGGGCTTCGCTTGCAACAACAAGTGTGCGAGCAGCAACCCTGCCGGACCTGCGCCAACGATCACAGTGCCAGCTCCTGCGGCATCCGCCATACTCTCCACACCCACCAAACCAAAATCACACACAAATCCTCTACCTCCGAAAAAAATTCCCCCACACTCTCAAATCCAGAAACTCACTACTCAATGGAATTTGACGTAGACGGTGCCACGTTCACCAACCAACCCCAAAGCTCATCCTACCTCAAATTTCCAGCAACGTCAGCTAGAACTCAAATGAACTCCTACACACCAACGTCACTAGAAAAAACACAATGTGTCTGGTGACAAGCACACAGCCATCTCCCCCAACAACTTTACCAACTCGCGCCGCTTCGCATGGCCGGGTGTTCATTATCCAAGCGTCCCCAAAACCGAGTCTCAAAAAAAAGGATTTGCCACTTGGGTCGGAGCCTGGACTGCATGCCACTGTGTAAAGTTATCTCGGAGCTATTCTCATGCTTTGCATAGGTTCGTAGCAACAGCTATGGCGACGCAACCTCGTTGCAGTGTCGATTTCCTACAACTTCGTTCGATCTGATCAATAACAATCGACCTCAATATCATATTAATCTGACGCAGAATTCACTGCACCCACGTTGTCGAAGCCCAACTTCGCTCCGCTAAATTGAGAACTTGCCTCACAATCTGTTGAATTTTCAACTTTCCGATATTGATTTGGCATTTTATTTGAGCATGAGACTTGGTTTATGAAAACGTTGTTCTTTGTCAAGAATTATGTTCACTGCGTTGTTTTTCTACACTAGCAATGTTTTGTGATGCATCTCAGTGCTATTTGACCACTCTCTGTTTGTGGGAGAATCTGATCTCTCACCGTAACTGTAACATGTGCATTAATTCATTTTAGAGATGCTTTGTAATAAAATTAATAATTTGATGGTGACTATTATTAAAAATATATATTTTAAGCACGTTGTGGTTTTGTTGAATTATAAAAGTGGAGTAAGTGATAAAATTGAACATGATAAAGAAATTTATAGCACAAAAGAATGAAATTTGTTTCACAAATCTCAAAAAATAACATGGACATGTATTGTTGAAGAAAGGAGAAAACAATGAAAGAAGAGATTGATATAAGATAGAAACAAAACAAATTGAATATTATCAAATACAAAGAAATTGGAGAGTTATGAACCAAGACTAGAATTCAAGAAAGCCATAGACAAGACTAAAGATGGCCTCACTCTTGTCTCCATACATATTAGCTATTAGAAGGCCTTGTGAGAGTTTTCCAAAAACCATGAGACTTATGTTCTAAGAAACAAATTATAGGTCCCTTCTAATTTGACTTTCTAAAATTATAAAATTTATGAAACAAGTTTTAAACACCACAAAGTATATCTATAGGTCTCTAAAGATCTAATCTATATCTAAGAAACTTCTTCAAATCTTTACAAGCAAAATATTATCTATGTATTAAGTTTTTTTTTACTTTTATTTAAATAATATAGGCATCTATCATATTATATCTGTTTGTAAGAACAAATTCCACAAGGAGTAATTAAATTTGATTCATAAGTTGATAAGGTCCAAGATCTATTGAATGGTCTTAGCAATAAATTCTAATTCTTATTTTTCACAAAGATTTATGATAATTTTCTTTAGCCATCAATAACACCTTATACTACAATAAGAAGACTATTTAGTTATTTAATCATTATTAAAGAATTCATAATTACCTTAAAACAACATATTTTATATATTGTTAAGTATAAGTATCTATTTCTAATAGTACTATTCAGCATCAATTGTCTCTTTCAAGATTATGATACCATACGTAATGGATGTTCATATTGTTTGAGTAAATAGAAGCAAGTAGAAGTAGATAGAAACATGTTAAGTAATTATTTTTTAAGAAGCTTCATAAAAAATTCTTAGACAAAAATTAGAAATTTAGACTTGTATAGATATGCCATGTGGCTATTGAAACTTATCTTATTAGTTATTTATTTTTAAGAAGTTGTATTGAAAGCAACCTACAACTTGACAATTGGATTATAAGTCTTACAATCATTAAGAAGCTTCTACAAGATGTTTTTAATAGGTGGTATATATAAAGATAAAATTATGGCTGCTATTAGTCTCATTAATATCTTTCTTATATTTTAATCTTAATTCAAGATTCTTTATGTTCTTTGTATTTGGAAATAGCTATTATAATTTTTTTAATATTATATCTTATATTTCAATCTTAATTCAAGATTCTTTATGTTCTTTGTATTTGGAAATAGCTATTATAATTTTTTTTAATCTTATATCTTATATTTCTTATTTTTCTATTTTTTTTTCTTTTTTTGTAACACAAAAGTGTTATGACTTTTCAAAGTTTCATCTTAATATATGTTCTTAAAATTTTAATAAAATAATCAATTTTTTTTATTAAAGAAGTAAATAGACTATCTCACTTCTTGAGAAATATCATTATTTTTTAAAAGATTATAGACTATAGATCTTTAGATTTAGATTTTATTTACTAATATTAATTTTTTAAAAAGAAAACAGACCCTTACTCTTTATAGAAATTTTTGTTTGATATTAGAAGTTGTGAATTACTCTCCACTAATTTGACTTATATATTTTTTAGTATTTTTTGTTTGAAGTCTACATCAACTTAGATGGAAGAAAAAATAAATTGTAAATTCTTCTTTTTAAATAAATGAAAATAGATTTGTAGCTATTACAAATCTTTATGAGCTTTTTAATACTCTTTAAGCAAAAATTACACATAGTAAGAGCCTTAATTAAAGAGGTACCATTGTTACTTTTATAAAAGAAGTCAATAATAAAGTTTATTGTTTACATTAAGAAGTTATGTAATTGAGGGAATTAAGTATAATTAGTCAAAATTTATAAGTGATTTCTAAATTCCTTATTACCACAGGTACAAAAAAGTCAAAGATTAATATGCCAAAGAAATCTGACATAATAAAAACAAAACTTTTAAGATTTTTACAACAAGTCAAGTTCTTCTTATGATTGTATCCTTCTTGATATCTTCATGGTATCATACAAGTAAGATTTATAAAGATATTTTTATTTAGAAGTGGTATTTTTTTATTTTTCACCTTTGGTAGAAAAAATTCATATTTATTTATTTATTTATAGAATTGTTTATGGTTAATTTTAGTAAAATTGAATAGAAAATAATAAAAAAAATTAAAACTCTTGTCTTTGCAATAAAACTCACATTGGACTACTATATTTTTTAAAAATTTCCATTAATTTTCTTGTAGGCTGAATTGAAACAATGTGATTCTTAATAATCAATTTTGATATAAACTTAAAAATAATGCTAGAGATTTTTTGTGGATCATATCAAAAATTGGTTTTAATTTTTTTTAAGAAGCATTTATCATTTTATCAATTTTATCAACAACCAATTCCTCAAAAGACATAATATCATATTTTAAAATGGCCATTTTTATTATTAATTATAATCCCCCGATCATTTATTTTTTAAATGTGTATCAAATTATAGGCTTCTTATAGATCTATTTTTGTATAGACCTTAGTTTTACTTAATAAATCAAGGATGGCTAGTTATTAAATTCTAAATATATATCTATAAAAAAATTACTTATATATTATATATATATATATATATATATATATAGAGAGAGAGAGAGAGAGAGAGAGGAACTTCACCAATATTGTTATAAAGGATTTGTATTACAAAATAATATTATTTAATAAATTTCTATACATTTACCATATTGCTATCCATTTATTAAGTTTTTCTTCACTTATCAATAATCATTTAAAAAAAGATTTATGCTTCAATATATTTTTATATCTATATTTTTTTGATTTTTTATATATTTTATTTTTTTTAATTATAAATTTTCTTATATATAAAAATCTTATATAATTCTACAAAATATTAATCTATAGTATAAAATATATATATATTTTTAGTGTATAAGCAATAGTTAGTAATTTAAGATAGATCTTTACACATAGGTATATGTATATATATATATATATATATATGATGGATCACTATATCAATATTGGATGTGAGTGGAATTTATTTTTTATATCTCTACCATCATAAAGTATGTTTAATATGTTAGTTTTTGTATTATGTAATTCTAATATTATATTAATAATTTTATTATTATCTAGCACGTGTGTTATACATAATATAAAGATAAAAAGTGTTAAGAAAACATGAAAGCTATACTTAAATATATTATAAATGATTTTGTTTCTAGTCATAAACAAATATACTTCTTTGTATATCTAATACAATTGTCAAGTTGTATGTGAGTTGTTTGGATCTATCTTCCAATTCTTAAGTCTAATTTTCTTTACAACAAGCACAAGAGAACTAATCAACCTTTCATAATGATCCAAATTTTTATATATATATATATATATATATATATTTATAAATAACTATACATGTATTACATAAATAAATTTCTTTACAACCATACATGTAATACATGTATAGTTTTTGCTACTACCACCATAATCCATCACCTAATCAACATGCTTATTTAATTTTTATTATTTTCCAACAAAATAATGTTAATATTCTAATATTATTTCTTAAAATTAGTGTATATATATATATATATATATATATATCTATTGAAGCATGAAGCTTCAATATATTTTGACAAAAGATATGGATGACATGTAGTAAAGGGCAAGTTGTGGTGGCAAAAGCAAGACATATAGTGACATTTGTAGTACCCTAAATTCAATAAACTCAAACAATAAAAATCACAATTAATAATGTACATATAAATTTAAAACTTATGTCTCTAATAAATACACATACACACATACATATATTTGTTTTATAGATATATACATATGTATATATATATATATATATACACATCTCTCTCTTTCTGAATGGTTCGTTAACAAAATAACGGAAAGGGAGCCAGATAAACGGAAAATCGAAGCCGCGACAAAGAAACTGCACGAAGTAACTGGACGGAGAAAGTGGACGACGAAACGCGACGATCGGGGCTTATCTACAACGATACGAGCAATCTGCCGGAGCCTGGCCATCGCCAAAAGAAAAGCTTAAGCAAGCAAGCGAGGCTGCCTCGGTCGCCCTCTCGCCCTCTCGCTGTCTGTGCAATTGTGTGTGTTTCTCTTGCTCTGTGTCCGTGTCTCTGCTGGATTCTCGTACAATTCTCTCTGCGTCGGAGGGAGGAGTAACTCATGATATCGACCATGTTGCCCTCCACTGCTGTTTGCGGTTCCTCGCATTCCTCGTTGTATGCCCTTCTCCCTCTCTGTGCCCGCTCTTCCTCGCCTTCTCTCTACCCTGTGCCTAATTTGGGTCGACGGAGCTACGGTGCTTCGCGGGGCGAGAGGTTGTTGACTCTTGCGGTGCAGAAATCGCCCAAGGGGTTCGGCAAAGCGCCCGAGAAGGAAAAGAAGGTACAAAAAAAGGAGGGCAAGCTTGATGGGTCGTTGCGGTCGGGGACGCAAGCAGACCCGCAGGATGAGCGCCAGGAGCCTGAGGACGACGTGGTGCCGGAGGTCGTGACCAACCGCATGCTCAAGCGGATTGCATTCACGGTCGGTATTCCGTTTGCCATTGGAGTCGCGTTCTTCGTCTTGTATTATTACTTGAAGGCTGTGAAAAAGGTGGATATCCCCGAGTGGCTGCCGTTGTTTACGTCGTTTCTCACCTTCGGTTCGGCGGGAGCGGGCATCACGTACGGCGTGTTATCGGCCAGCTGGGATCCCAAGCGAGAGGGTTCATTGCTTGGTTGGAAGGAGGCTCAGCTCAACTGGCCCGTCTTTTGGGATACATTCCGGGGAAAGCGTGATGACCTGAAGAGATGGTAGAGTATACGGGGTCCTGTTCTTGTTACAATTGCGGACGAGTTTGGAGGGCTTCTTCGCTGTATAGTAGATAGTAGTTATTGTGAGGAATGTTCCCCTACGGTGCAACTGCTGATAATCGATTACTAACCTGGATGGTAGAGACGGATGGATGCTGGAGTAATGGTCTGTATTCGGCGAGAAGTGAATCCTGGTGCAGCTGTTCTATCTGATCGCTGAATTTCTCTTGGTTGCATTTAGGGTTGCATGGTTAACAGCAGGTTGAGATTAACTGTTTGAGACAGTTAGCTCTCTTGCTCCCATTCCTCATCGATTTAGGCCTTCAGAGCATTGTAGTTTGCTGCTACGGCTTTAGGTTGAAGTGTGAAGTTCGACGTAATCTGGATATGATGCTTCGCAACCGCAAGTTCTGGGCGAGCCTGAACCTGAGTAGATTGATGGTGATGGCGAGACTTTATTCACATTTTCCCATGCTTCATATTCTTGCTGGCATTTGTACTAGTAGCTTTGTGTGATTAGGGCACAGACGAGGCAAATTCTCTGGCGAAAGCTTCTAATTTCCATTCGCTTGAATTACCTCCCCATCTTCATCAGATATATCTGAAGCAGCAATTCTTTCTATGTAATGGTAGTGAGCAGTTTAGCCTTTCATGTCTTGTATTTCTGCCTCTGATATTGATGAAACCACTGGAGCCCATTCTACCTGTAATATTGGTCATCAATCTTGCATTTCTTTAGTATTACTGGCTTTGCCATTTCTGTCATGTGTTTGTTCTACCGCTTTGTGGATGTCTGAAGACACAGACAAACAGGTTTGTAACTTGAAGTGACTGCCATTCTTGTAGCTGAAATGTGAACTTGTTTGACGATCCTGCTGCTCTTTAGAATGGCTCTCTTCTGTAAGGCAACCTCAGGTTTATATCAAATTCAGTTCATAGCTTTAACAATTCCTTAGCTTGTGGGTATTGTGAGTACCGTAGCATGGTGATAGATTTCAATGGAATGCCAGTTTTATATTCTGCTTGAAACAGAAAATATCACGCCATGGAAGTGTTCCATGTTTTCATTCTTACTTTGATTTGCATCAAAATCTGATATGATTGTGATGAACAAATTTTGCACAATGTCATTGTGAAGTTTTATCACTGAAGTGAAGCTCTAGAAGTATTCTAGTATGCGGTTGGTATTCTTTTCAATGTGGATTTTGATTGTACCAATTGGATGGAACTCGATTTTCTTCGAATGTGAGATATTCCTAGTGATGTATTTTGAATCCTGCCTACAAATTACATTACATTACTCAACACTGGCATGGTACCCTCTTATATGGAATGATATCATTGAAATTATTTGTAACAAATTTATGTTGTTGAAAACTTGTTTAAAGTTATCAAAGAGTAGATTTTAACAACTGAATTACTTTTGAATTTTACATGAATGTACATAAATAATCTGCTCTATGTTTAATAATGACTAGTCATTGTGACTTCTCATGTAGTACTTCATTTTGTGTATTTGTGTCAACATGTTTTTATTCTTTTAATTTTTTTCAATTTTTCTTATTAAAATTACCATCAGATAAAATGAAGTTTAATGTAAATTTGCTTCCAATACTTAATATCAAAACAGGAATAAAAATTATAAATATTCTCAGGTTAATGACAAAATATATATATATATATATATATATATATTCATTCAAATCCATAATTTTTTTGTATTAAATTGACTAACCTAATTAGATAAGTCAGATTGCATATAACAAAATGAGTGATTTTTTGAAATAAAGGTATAATAATATGTATATGAGTTTTTTATACATTAATTTGATAAGACAACAAATAGAATTAGTACAAAAACAGAGGACCTTTTTAATGTCTTTGAAATATAGTGTCCAATTATGCAACCTCTATTTTTATTGATTATCCTTGTTTTCTTCAACTGTTTTGAGTCAATTATTACAAAAAAATTAATTAATATAATATTATAAACAACATAATCGTAATAGTATTTTAAATATTTCTAATATATTTTTTTTATTTTATATTATTTTTAGAGATTTTAATTTTAAATAATCTATCCTAAATAAAAAAATATAAACATTTTGAATATATCCACGAAGTCCTAGTTTATATTTATATTTGTAGTTATTGATTTTTAAAAATCTTTTAAGATTTTTTTTCTTAAATATTACAAAGATGAGATTGTATTATTAATCATTATTATTTAATCATTTATTTAAAATGAAGGTTACTTAGTTATTACTTCAACGCATAAGGTTCATTTACAATTTAATCAAATAAGGCCTTTTTTCTCACCATTAAATTTGCAATATTTTTGTGTCTTGTTTAATTAGAAAAGTTAAATTATATCCTAAGTTATTAATTTTTTTAATTTGCAAAATAAAAATAAAAAATATGTTATAGAAATATTCATAAACTTGAAAATTTTTAAAAGTAAATTGGTGAGATTTTAATTTATTTTTTGAGATCGATTTTTTCTATACACCAGCATAATTATTCAAGCATAACGTAAATAAAAATTAATAAGTATCTCTTAATCATAATAGATTTAATTCGTCTAAAACAATTTAACTCAAATGAATTTTAAAAAATAAAAATTTATTTCTAAGTTGCATTTTGTGTGTATATATATATATATATATATATATATATATATATATATATATTTTGGGGGGTATGTTATTATTGTTGTTATTATTCTTATTTTGTTAAGTATTTTTGTGGTATTATTGATAAATATTTTAGCATTTTTTTATTTTATTTTATTTATGTTGATTACACTTTGATTCTTTATTGCATTGTTTATTTTTATACATCAATATTGTGTATCAATGTATCCCTGTCAAAATAAAGAAATTAGCTTATAAGGCTGTGCCAAAACATAAAAGATAGCTAAATGGACACAAAAGACTTAAGGTACAAAATACACAATTAAAAAAGACTTCACACAATAATTGAGAAGATCAAAGTTGACCTAAACTTGCCTTTGTGTTTACTTCTTGCAAGGCTAAGACAAGTTGTGATAACTTCAATAGATCAACCTAATTAAACTTGATATAACCTTCAAACCTAACCTAATTTCAAAATTATACTAAACTTAGAAATCTATGTCAGTGACACATATGTATTACTTAGCACAAAGTAAAGAAACATAATGTTTCACTGAATAGAAACAGGGAGGATGACGTGGCGAAGGAAAAGTAAGGGAGAAAGCAAGCAAGCCAGAGGCCGGGGTATGTGGGGAACTGGGTAGGGGGGGAGGTATTCTATCCATCCATCCATTTATCCGAACCGGGTATCAATCTCGAGACCCTTCCCCTCCTCCCTCGCTTGGTTCTTCTCCTTCGTCTTCTCCTTCTCCTTCTCCTTCGTTGTCTGCTTCTTCTCCTTCGTCATCTCCGTCTCGTTCGTCGTCTTCTTCTTCGTCGTCTTGTGCTGCTGCTTGGGCTTGTTCGTGTCCTGTTGCAGCAGCAGCAGGGCAATCTGGCCTCGGCGTCTTCTTCTTCTTCTTCTTCTTCTTTGTTCCCCTCCCTCCCCTCATCCCCGCTTATTGTCGCTCCCTTTCTTCTTCTTCTTCCCTCCTTTTTTCTCCACCCCCCCCCTTTCCCACTCCATCGCCATTGTCGCTACACCGTTGTCTCTCTCTCTCTCTCTCTCTCTCTCTCACTTCTCTTTCTCGCTCCCGTTGACTCCATTCCTCTGTGTCTGACCGTCTTGCTCACCTTCTTGTGCCTCCTCCTCGCTTTCGTCGGTTTCCGTCCCGACGGAATTTCGGTGTAGATTAGGTTTAGAGCGTAACATGAGTTGAAACGGTCGGGACGTGATAGGGGGGCGCCGGGCGGGATGCGCTGTGATCTTTGTGAGCGATGGCGGAGCGGACAGGGCAGCTGCAACGGGATTTTGATTGCGCCGATGATGATGTTGTTGATAGAGGTGGAGAGGGGAGGGGGAGGAAGAGGAGGGGGAGTACGCGAGGGTTGTGCGTAAAGGGTTTAGCTCGGGCTGATGCATGAGGGAGCCCGGGGGAGGGAGCGCGCAGGATTGTGATATGAGGGTAGGGCAGGGTAGGGCCAGGGTAGGGCGAGGGAGGGAAATGGCGAGGCCCTTGGGTGACATGAAGAACAAGCGAAAGGAGGTGGAGGCGGAGGAATCGGGGGAAGTGGAGTTGGGAGGTGGCGAGAAGCGGAGTAAGCTAACTGCTTCTGAGGATTTTGATGTGGGAGAGAGCGATGAAGACGAGGATAGCAGGATGGGTGTCTTGTTGTTGAACACAGCCAGTAGGATTTTGGAAGCCAGAAGACGCACGCGGCCATTGCCTGTGCTCATGGGGGACAAGGCTGTCGATCTCCTAGCCCTGCATTCTCGAGTGAGCAGCATGGGGGGTTACAGCAAGGTGACCGAGGCCGGGCTCTGGGGTGCAGTTTCGGATGCATTAGAATTAGGGCTAGACTGCGGGCCAGGGTTGAAGCTCGTGTATGTGAAATATTTAAAAGCGTTGGATGCTGTGAAAAATTCCAAGGAGTTGAAGAATAGCTCCAGTTTGGATGCAGCTCAGCCGAGCAGCTCAGTGAGAGTCAGTGAGTGGTGGGACCACGGGCCAGCAAGTAGACAAGCAGAATCTGGGCACGAAATGCATGAAGATAGGGAATACGCGCCCGAAGAGGCGACAGCAGGGCACCAATTTATTTCGCACTATGACCATGACCAGAAGATAGAAAATGGCAGTGGGAGTGGTAATGTAGGGGCTGCAATTTTAGATGATGCTATTGAAGATCTACGATGTAGGTATTTAACCCAGATGGAGTGTAAGCAATCCTCAACAGTTGAAGACCAGGAAACTGAATACACCTCAGTTAAACCCCTTGCTAGTGACACTGTTCTCAGGGGAGACAAAGATCATGCTCATACGTTTGATGAAGGTCCAGGTATGTGCGGGGATTGGTATGGGGGGGGCAGAGTGGACAATGCCATGCTGCAGCGGGAGGCCTTGCGTGGGATGGTGGAGTGGATCAAGCGAATTGCCATCATTCCAGGAAGGCCGGCATCAGCACCGGACGCAGGAGGTCCAGGTCAAGGCGAGGATTGGATGAGCCATTGTCAACTGCTGACATCGAAAGTACGGACTGCCCTTTGGAAGGAGGCTCGGTGTGAAGATAGCTCCGTGCAGGTTTGTATTGGGGAGCCTCCCTTTGCTGATTCGTTGCCCTGCATGTCTAGTTCATCATTGTGCCATACGGAGACCGGATGCACAATATCATGTCTAGGACGAAAACCTGAGGATGCCGTTCGAGTCATTTGGTCATAGTGCCTTTTGGTAATCTATGTACTGATGGACCTCGTGCCCTGTGCGTTGAGCCACCAAAGTTGCTGTATCGAGTTCAATGCTGTGGATGCCAGGGTATGAAAAAACTCAACTTGTGTATTATTCTTTCAACAAAGCTATGCCTGTCGTAATGCAGACAAAATCAAATCCTACCCTTCGCTACAACGGGCCCGTACGAACTAGGCTTGTAAGCCAACTGGAACGTATGCAATCAACGAAGGTTGATGATCGGAATACTGCATGCACCTCAGTTGAACCCCTTGCCAGCGACACTATTCTCGAGGGAGATAAATCTCATTCTCATACATTTGATGAAGGTCCAGGCACGAGCGGGGATTGGCATGAGGGGGGTGGAGTGGAGAGTGCTTTGCAGCAGCGGGTGGCCTTGCATGGGATGGTGGAGTGGATCAAGCGAATTGCCATTATCCCGGGAAACCCAGCATCAGCACTGGACGCAGGAAGTCCAGGTCAAGGCGAGGATTGGATGAGCCAATGTCAAATGCTGACATCGAAAGTGCGGACTGCTCTTTGGAGGAAGGCTCGGTGTGAAGATAGCTCCATACAGGTGTGTAAGTGGAAAGCCTGTGAGGATGCCGTTGGAGTCATTTTGTCAAAGTGCTTTTTGGTAATCTGTGTATGGATGCATCTCATGCCCGGTGCCTTGAGTCACAAAAGCTTCTGCATCAAGTTTCATGCTTTGTATTTCAGGCTTTGAAAAACGTAACCTGTGTAATATTTGTTCAACAAAACCATGCCTGTTGTGATGCAGACAAAGTCAATGCCTTCCCAATTTTTCGACGAGCCAGTCCGACCGGACGCTCAGGCTCTTGAACGTTTACGAGCCACTCGAGAACGATTAGCTCATTATGGGTTTCTGCCACCCCCGGGACCGAGTTGCAAGGAAGGAGCATCCTCAAATCAGGACACGAATATTGCCTCGTATTGGGGAACATCAGGAGCTCATGTTGGACAGCGCTCTGCCAGACATTCAGTTAACTATAGCGATCCTGTATTTGTTCGGTATAATCAACAAAGGAAAAGGATTCCTATTGGCAAAGATTATCAAGCTGACTTGGTTAGTCGGATTCCACGAGATCTTTCGCATAAGACTAGTGATGCAACCCAAGATGATTCTGGAGAAGGACTTTATAGCAGCAACGCTGAAGACAACGACGATAGGTGGCTTGGTTTACAGCTATGGCCTCAGGCTGATCTGAGGGAAGTCCACTTTAGTTCATGCGAAGTAGGCAGGGGTAGGCCAGCTTCTTGCGATTGTCGTGAGCCTGGTTCCATAAACTGTGTGAGAATGCATATTGCGGCGGCAAGGGTAAAGCTTAGGAATGATCTTGGGCATGCTTTTAATCGTATGGGGTTTGATCAGATGGGCGAGTGTGTTGGCGATCTGTGGAGCAAGGACGAAGAGCGTACATTCCGAATGGTTGCCAGGACACATCCAGCGTCCAAGAGCAGAAACTTTTGGGACTATCTCCCGAATTCTTTACCGTACAAAACTAGGAAAGAATTAAATAGCTATTATTTCAATGTGTTCGTCTTGAGGCGGCGAGCACTTCAGAATAGGCTGGGCGACAAGATTGACAGTGACGATGATGAAGGAGAATTTCTAGGTGAATCCGATGGTAGTGGTGATGTATCTACAGGTTATGACGAAGGTGATGAGGATGATTTCAGTGACGGTGCGGATGATGGTGAAAGTGGAGACATGCATGATGTCTACCCATTGAAAATTCTAGACGATGCGGGGATGCAGAAATTCACGCGTCTTCCTGAATATCAATTCAGTCCTGCGGATGGGGTGGTCCATCATGAAGGCGATAGAGCCCGAACTGAATCATTGGTTGTGGATCTAGAAGAGACAGGCAGCCACGGCACACACAACCATTCTGATCCCTCTCATGTCATGTTAGATTGGGATGACAAGCACCTGGAGTCAGCGAGTTTAGTGCCTGAAGGAAGGCATTGGGAGGAGCGTCATTGGGATGGTGGGGATCACCAGCAGGTGAGCTCTGTTCTCGGTGAGGCTGTGTCCAATAGACGGTTGTCCCCACTCGCGGGGAAGGAAGATACTCAACAACCCATTGGTCTTGGGGATTTATGGAACCAAAATATGGAGATGGCCCCAAAGCAGGAGAAGGATAGGCTCCTCTCCACGAATGGGATGATCCTAGAACTCTTTGGTGATGATGTAAGAAACTAAGGCAATGATCTTGTGTTTATCTTAATTACCTAAGTTGCTTAGAAAAAATGTGGTCCTTAAGTCAATCGATATAGTTCAGTCGTACGAAGCCCAGCATTCCACTTTCAAGCCAATTTTTTCTTTTCTTTAATTACTTTCTTCCTTCAAATTTTCTGAAAATCCATTTATTTATATATTTATTTGGTTATTCTCCTCACCTTCTTGCAGTATATTTTTTTTTATTTCTGTTGCACTACTCTTGTCTGCCGACCTTTCTATCATAATAGGGTCTACTTCTAAACCTTCTAGGAGTGATGCAGAAACAAGTCAAAAGGTACTCCTAAGTGGTGCCAATAAGGGCAAGCAATGTTCTCTTCCAAGAACTGTAAATTGAGTTCTGTAGAGACATTTAAATATGATGATGAAGCCCGCTTAGTATCATTAGGAAATCCATCGGACTTCATCATCATATTTAAATGTCCCTTAAAGAACTCAGAATTTGCAGTTCTTGGAAGAGAACATTTCTTGCCCTTATTGGCACCACTTTGGAGTACCTTATGACATGTTTCTGCATCACTACTAGAAGGTTTAGAAGTGGACTCTATTATTGATAGAAAGGTCGGCAGACTGGAAAGTCCTTGATGCTACATTGTTTATAACATCGATGTTATTCTCCTCACCTATCTTGCAATATAATTTTTTGTATTTCTGTTGCACTGCTCTTTCCTGTATCTTGTCATTAGTTAAGTGCTTCTATTTGTGAAGGTGATATTACATCTTGGTCCGAGAAGACTGGGCAATGTGTTTCTATGTTGCATTTGTGAAAAGCATCCTAGCTTAGACTGCAAAATGCGAGCCGTAGGTTTTCTTCGTTCTTTCATCATTTGCTTCATGGGGAGGTGATGAGTTGGGGTTATATGACCGACTGTAAAACCTAGAGTTCTACTACGATGTGATGCATTGCTACAGGATTTTCTTCACAAATGGGACAGATTTTTAAACTTTAATTGCAGGTATTAGTGCTTATAGGCCCGAGTCAATAGGTTGAGTTGTCATGGGTATAAGCACTAATTATGCTTTGAAAGAAGCTTTTCTAAATTAGTGGGGTATGATTTACAATATTTGTACTTTATGGTATCAGTGTGCCTCAGTTAAGTATCCCCATTAAAATGATACTTTTTTACACAAGAATTATATGTGTTTTTATAAGTATTTATTTAAGAAAATATTCAAGAAAATATCAGATAACCTGAAATATATCTGATAATGCAATTTTAGTGTGTTGGAGAAAGCTTATTCACTTAATAGTTAAAGCAAGAGACTCTTTACTTCTTTTAAAAATACATGCTTAATATTGCAATCTATTTTTATTTATTTTTATTACTATTTATATTAGAAGTTAATATATAAACTTTTAAAATGTTACTTTGATGTAATATGTTATTAACAATTTGCATAAAACGTACAATCTTATCATTTCTATAATGTAATTGCATAATATTCTCTCTTACTTATCGTGAAATATATATTTTGTAATTATATGTTTTTTTTGAAATTCTAATGAAATTTAGATATTTTATTTTACGAAAAATATATAATGCATGAAGAAAAATAATGTAATATCAAATAAATACATATAAAGTTAAAAAAAAAAAAAAACTTTAAAACTTGAATATGGATGATGATTATGAATTTAAGAATAAATTTCTTTGCTTTAAGGAATTATTTGACACACTCTTAGGATTGATTTACTTCTAATTACATTATAAAAAAATTACTACATAATATTCTGTTTTTGGCAAAGTAATAGCATTAACATCTATAGATTGTTTTTTGTCATAAATATTTCAATCTGTGAAGAAATTATCTAGTCTAGTGATACATGTTTGAGAAATTAGGATCTAAAGCATCAATAAGAAGAATTCTTTGAATTACATGCAAAGGAATCATGGTCTTTTATTTCAATAGATTTTGTCATGGATTTTATAATCTCTAGTTATAAAAGACTCAATTGTGGTGATAGTGGTGTTTTATTTTATTTTATTTTTTCTAATCTAGTTTTATATTAATAATTTTTTTTATTTCTAATAAATAGATATTTAAACTTTTTTATAGTATTACATTAGAAAAATACTATACATTGTATCCAATTTTGGAGAGGATTTTTTTAAATATTAAAAAATATAATTGATGATTCTACAAAAAATCATTTAAAAATTAATGATTTAACTAAAATGATTTACCAACTTTTATATACAATATTTATTTCAATATAAACCATCAAAAAAACAATTATTGAAGATTATATCTATTAAAGATTATTTTTAATATCATATCAAATAAATCTATCTATTTTCTAATTTAAGATCCTACTTTGTACATAAATCTATCAATTTTTCTGAAATTTTTTTTCTGAAAATTACATATCTTAGATAGAAATCTTTTATCATAAACTCTAGTTTTAAATAATGTTTTAATTGAATGTTAAAATAATTGAATGTTTTAAAATATATATTCAAAAGATTTAACAAAAAAAAAATGATATGATATTAGCAAAAAATATATAAAGCCATCATCTAACCTAATAAATGTACTAAAAGATACATATTATTTTATTAATTTATCAAAAATATCTTTATAATTCAAAATCTTTGCATTGATTTATATTAAAATATTACATGATGTAGATGGTGCCAATGTAATAACTAAGAGAAGAAGCTATCTATGTAGACCAGCATAAAAGAAGAAAAGAAATCAAATATTAATCAAATGACATTAATAGTTATTCAATTTTACTTAGACTAGATATTATCTAAATAGATTTAGAATATAGAGTATTATTATTATTATTATTATTATTATTATTTTTTCTATTTTTTTATAAAGTGTTAAGATCCTAAATCTAAATTTTTCTTTTTGAATCTATTAAATCAATTGTAAAAGTTGTTTCAACATTTAATATCATTTAAATACTTTTAAGATAATTTAGAAATTTTTATATGTCAAGTATGGACTTGATATAAATAACATTTTCATAAAATCTTTAAATTGATATCTAAACCTTTGTTATATAACCAAAAGTTGATAACATTTAATCTATTGGTCAAGAGATTATTTTCTAGAATATGTTTAAAAAATCTTAGATAATACCTTTTTATTCTAATAAATTTATTAGTACCAAAGAATTATAGATATAATTTTTGGTTAAAAGGACATGTACATGTATTGAATATAAATCAAAGAAAAACTTATCTTGTAACATTTTTTGAAAGTCTTTATATATAAAGAGATGGAATATTAAAATTATGTAGAAAACTTATTGCTAAATAAAAATACGATATTATAGATACAAAAAAATATATAATTACAAAAATCATTGAGAATCTTTTATATATTTTTATTGCTTTCAAGAGATCTCTATAACATTCTATAGAGCTCTAATATTATCTATTTATTTTTTTAAAATTTAATAAAATATTATTAGCTAATTGATATTTTAATCAAAAAAATAAAATTAATGGATCTAATATCATTTTTAAGTACTTAGTAATGTAGATATTTTCTAATATTACTTTTGGTCCAATTGAAATTAAAATTTAAAATAAATTGATAACAATTATAATATCTTTGATGATAATATATTTAAAAAATAACAAAAATTTATACTAGGAATCTTTTCTTAAATCTTTTCTAATTGATATATGAAGTACAAGTTATTTTAGCAAAATAATCTGATTTAATTTAGATAAATATACCTTTATAAGACCAAATAGATCTTGTTTTAGCTATAAATTCTAATTTATACATAAATCACTTTAAAATTATTAAATTATCATTTAATAATAGATCAATTCCATTTTTTATTTAGGTATTTTTTGGCAAAGATTGTAGATGTTGAAAGTTTCATTTTCTTTTAAATATACATTTTAAAACATTAAATCAATTGGATAAGGAATATATCTTTAGGAAGAAAAAGAAAAAACTCCTATTGTCAAAATCATGAACATCAAAGACCTAAAATAGTCAACACACTCTTATATCATTCAAAAAGACTAAAAAAATATTCAAAGGTGATATAGTATTAAACTAGAATGGCTATTGCTAAAGACAAGAAGACTAGAAAGTCTTGAAACAAGACTAAGGATTAGAAATGCATTGACTAGAGTGAAAAAGACTTCATTCTTGCTTCCATATATGCTCTCTGACTAGGAATTACGTGGCAATATGCTGTAGGATCTCCAACATGTATTGAATTTGCTAGACACATGTCTTAATTGGCAAGACAAGTTATCTATATGTAAGCCACATAGTTAACTTGTTTCACAAGCTACAATTATGTGTGATATATGGCTAATTTATTGACAAAGTTTCTAGCCTATTGTTAAGGACATGAACTAAAAGATGATGCATAAACCAATGAAATCCATATCAACGAAAGAGTGACAAAATAGAAATAAAGAAGTATGTATATTAAAAGAAATTAGAAAGACTTATTGCTAAAAGACAAGAAAACTTGAGACTCTTGAAATTAGACTACAAGTAAGAAAAGAGTTGACAAGAGTGAAGAGGGCTTCATTCTTGTCTCTATATATACTATCTAATTAGGGGCTATATGGCAATGTTCTATAGGACCTCCAATATGTGTTGACTTTATAGGACACATGTCTTGACTTACAAGGCAAGTTTTTCTACATGTCGGTGATATAATTAGCTTGGTCTTCAAGCTAACAACATGTGTGGCACATGGCCAACTTGTTGATCACGTTTTTAATCCAAAAAGTTAATTAAAGATAGCTATAAAGTTAAAGCGTCTATGAAGCTTTTAGTATGCTTCCGTAGAAGATATTATAGAATTAATTTACTTTTATCTACTTTTACTTAATTCTACTTATTTATACATGTATTTTTTTGGCTTACATGCATATGTCCATGACATTACTCTCTTTTCTAGGAACGAGTTCCACAAGGAGCGGTCATCATATGTTGAAAAAATCTATGATGTGATAAATTATATTCGCCACATCCTCAAATCTTTATTCTCTTTGAAGATGATTGATAGGGCCTCTTAACCATTGATAGTATCCCATACTAGGGCAAGAAGACCTCATTGTTATCTGATCGTTGTTGAGGCCTTCATAACTTCTTTCAAATAAAATATTTAGAACACCGTCTAGTGTTGTTCCTACCTCTAATAAAATTACCAAACATCAGGAGTCTCTTCCAAGGTCAAGATATCAAATGCGTTGTATCTCACCATCTATTCGAGGAAAAACATGTCGTTCTTGAGGATCTTCATCTTGATTGTGTCTTTTTGAAGGTTATAATAATCACAATATCTTGTCCGATAGGTCAACAAATGAAGGCTCTTCAATCAAATCCGTTGGTTGTTGGTTTTCCATCTCCTTACCATCACAACTATAAAGAAGTTACAAACAAAGATTGAAAGTAAAATGTTATCTTGCCTAGATCTTGTTTCTTTTATAGGGAAGGCTTTTCATCTTGATTTTGATCGATGTTGTCAATGAAAAGCCTCCATTGCCTTTGCTACATTTGTAAGATTCTTTACTGACTCCCCTATACGTTCACTAATATTATATCCATGCCAATAGACAAGATATTTTAATTTATTTCAGCATTGCCTTGAATCTAAGACTTCTTCTACTTTGAACTCTTCATTATTGTCTACTTCTA